CACCACACCACATCTCCCATTCAAAATCATCGCTCCAGTCTAGCTTGTTGGTGACGGTATCATGCTCGGTATGGCATACTTCTCTTTAGAAGGTACTGAAAAGCCTGTTAGGACAGAAGGAATATGGACAGATCAATTTACAATTTACCAGAGGAAATCTTGTTTTAGTCTACTACAGCCTTAAAACTGAGTGAAAACCCACCTTCCAGCAGGTGTTTATTTCAAGGTTATTTCTGACAAATACGACAAGAACATTTTCTGGACGTTTACTTGGACAGATCAGCACTCATACTGTAGGTCTTTTTGAGCTGATCATGAAAAACATATTGCAATATCTAATCAGTCGATCAATCAGTTTTTTTTTCCTACAAATTACCAAAGAGCACTTTACAGAAGTATGTTTTTTTACAAAGGTATAGAAGGCTTTTATTATCCAAACAATAACTTGCATTCTTTTTTCTCTCTCAGGAGGCCTGAGAAGGGCTTCTGGATTTTATTCCTTATTGTTTTAGAAAAAAATGTTTTGTAGAAAGGAAAGTGTGGCTTCAGTGATTTTACAGTACGTATCCAGCTGTATGTTGTTAGAACATGATGACACATGCTGAGGCAGTTCACTTTGCAAAAACTAAATATTAGGCAACACATTGCTTAAAATGCAAATAACAGTGCAAAGTCTGTCCATTGTTTGTTTTGAGTAGATCTTTCTCTGTGCATCTTGTAAAATAATTCATCTAGCTTAGGAAATAGTTTCTTTATCTTAAAACAACTGGTATTTTGAAATGTAACATTTAAATCTAATGTTTAAAAAATACACAGCAATTTCTATTCATTCAAATATATAATATTTTAATCCGATATTCAAGTTCATCTTGTTTGCAGGTTTTTTTAGAACTTAATTCAATGTTTTAAAGCCCAAATTAACTGCTTACTATTAAAAAACCGCAACAACTTATTTTTCTATAGGGGAAGGAATTCAAGTTTCTATTTTCTACTTTTATTGCTTTAAGGTAGTTCACATTGGCTCAGAAAATAATATAATTAAATGCCTTTAAAAACCTCTTTACATATATTTTGTAAGGAAAAATGTTACATAGGTTCTCAGTAGTTTGGCTCTGTGATGAAATATATTTCTCTCATTGGAAGAAACGATAGGTTTGTGTCAAAGAACATACCGTTTTGACCTGGTCATAGGTTAACATGGCCAGTAAAATACCGGATGTTCTGAGGATTACTGTCATGATATAAAATTGCTTTATAACAATACAAAATATTTTTCAATTATAATTTTTAAGGGGGAAACAGTGTCATAGTAGTTACCACTGTCGTCTCCCAGTGCTGGGCTCAATTTCTGGGCGTCTGTCTGTGTAGAGTTTGTATGCTCTCCGAGTGTGCATTTCTTCCAGGTGTTCTGGTTTCCTCTCACAGGCCAAAGGCATACTGGTAGGTTAAATGACTTCAGGGAGTACCCCTCCTGGTGTTACTGTATGTGTGTGTCTGTATTTGTGCCTATGTGTGCCCTGCGATGGACTGGTGCCCAGTGCAAGCCAGTATTAGTGCCTGTTGCTTGCCAGGATAGACTCCAGACTCCCCACAACCCTGTTTTGAATAAAGCTGTTAGAAAATGGGTGGATGTATTATTAAGGATGAATTATTTTTTTGTTGTTTTGGCCATAAAATATCATGTATTAACATTTTAAATAAATTTCAGAATCTTATCTTTAAACATTTACCCTTGGCCCAAATGTAAACGTTTAAAGATACAGTAAATGGCGAGAATACTATATGATGTGACCTCTTATATAGTAGAAATATTAAGTAAAAAGTATATATTTCTTTTACATATTCTTGTCTTATATTGTTTTGTTTTACACTGATTCTAAAGTAAGATCATTTGCAGTTTTCAATACAAATACTAATAAGAGTGCCAAAATACAATTTTCAGCAGGAAAATTGTCCGAACTCACAAAGATATTGTGACACCTAGCGGCTGTGGGGTGATATTGCAGTCAGGGATGGGACATTTAGTATGGGACATTCAGCTCTTCCCTCAGAGTAGCTGTTGTGAAGGACTAAGAGTTACTATAGACACGTATATTCAATCCATGCTGAAAAGAGACGAAAAGAAACACAATGTTTCGCCTGTGGAGCCTTCTTCAGGTTACTGGTTCCTTCGCAGCCTACGGGTGCTGACACAGCTACCTACTTGAACTACATACTGTATGTTCAATCGATATACACCTACTATAGTTAGTATAGTTGTATGTTATACTTAACATATTATCCTTGTTTTTACGTATCATTTCTTTATACCCACTCTAGCTTGACAATTCTCATGTGAAGAGCTGCCGTCTGTATCCAGGCAAACTCTCCCGTATTTACCCTGAATGCTTTTATGTACATATTCTTTTATGTATCAATAAATGTATCCCGCATGTTGTGGATATTTATAAAGACTCCCTATTGTCCTGCCAATTGATTCCTAATACCCAAACTAAAATAATGCATTTATTGTTATAACTAAACATTGTGCCAATGAAATCACAGTTATATGAATACAGTTTAATGTATTCTACACTGATAATTAAAATAAAATAAAAAATAGTTCTATTTGGAAAATAAGAAATGCAGATTTTGTCTATTCTAATGAGAATATGGACTACATGTCAGGCAGAAAGGATTAAAAATTGGACCTTCATTCAAGTGGTGTCTTGAAGATAGTACCCCATCTTTCTCATTGTGACAAAAGTCTGTGGCATGACTTCCACTTGTTTTTCACAATCTTTTCACTTATGTTTCATCTTTGTATTCCTTCTGTGGCATGAAAAGCAATGGCATTTAATTATTGTATATTCACTTTTCTTAATATGATTAATAATATTTTAATTTGTGCAATGGGTGTGTTTGTCTTTCCTGTCGTGGATCCTGAGTGCTGTTCCTGTCTATTTTCTGTTCTGACATTTTGTATCAAGGTAACAGACCCTGACTTATCTCTGGTTGAAATGGAGGTGCACCTGTTCATCAAGAGAAACTGGGTGTAGATCTCAGTGTATTTTACCTGGTGTCTGTGGTGTAGCAGTTAGTCTTGTCTTTGTTTTGAATGTGTTGCCAGCAGCTATATCACACTGCAACTCACACCTGGCAACTTACTTGATGCTAAAAAGGTGTGAGTCTGGATGGGAGACCTCCTGGGGAAACTAAAAGTTACTGCTGGAAGAGGTGTTAGGGGGACCAGTAGGGAGTGCTCACCCTGTGGTCTGTGTGAGTCCTAATCCTAATACCGTAAAAAAGCAGTCCTTTGGATGAGACGTAAAACCAAGGTCCTGGCTTTCCTTGTTCATTAAAAATCTCAGGGCATTCCCTGTTACCCCTGTGTCCTGGCCAAATTTCCCCCAGAACTTTACCAATCATGGCCTCCTAATAATCCCCATCTATGAACTGGCTCATCTCTCTGTTCTCCTCCCCACTGATAGCTGGCGTGTGGTGAGCGTACTGGTGTACTTTGGCTGCTGTGACATTCTCCAGGTGGGGGCTACATATTGGTGGTGGTACCTGTCAAGCGCTTTAAGTGGACTGTCCAAAGCATTGACAGAGTCCATTGAATGGACTTCTTCAGATTCAACAGTGTTATACAAACCATAGTATAAAAATATATTACAAATGGAAATAGAATAGAACTGTGAATATGTATATTGAAAACTGAGCATATGAGCATTTCTACACTAGCTTGCCTGAAACAAGCTATCCAGCTTGTTGCAGATGATATCGTATACTTACAGTCCACAGTCAAGGCGCTCCACAGGCCTATGTCCTGACCACCCGCTAAATGAATAGCAACCTACTGTATCTTCCTATTCTAAAAATGCACCCACAAACCAGGAGAGGCTGTTTTTACCTAAGGAATTCTTCACTCGGGAAATCAGAGGTCTCTAAAAAACACAGCAAGCTCTCTTAGCAAGTACTTCCAAAAACTTAGCTCCAGTCTTGTCTTTCTGGATGATCTGGACAAGGACCTCTTGCCTGCCTGGCACAACCATTATGTTCTGTGTCCTCCTCTCTCCTCTCCTCTCTCTTCTGTTCTCATCCATTTCTCTCTCTCTGTCTTTCTGTCTTTTATCCTGCACTTTTGACACTCTTAATTAATCATTTACCCACAACTGAATTAACCAAGGTAAACCAGAAGTGTTCACTACCCATGGTTCTTGTGGTTGGATGCCTTAGACCAGGGGTCGGCAAACTACGGCCCGCGGGCCAAATCCGGCCCGCTGAACTTTTCTGAGTGACCTGCACCTCACTACTGTAGGAATCTCGAGGGTTACCTTTTGCATCAGATATTGAAAATCTTCCGCCAGTGGCCCCTACTTGTTAGCTCTGCTGCTCTCTCTCAGCACTAACAGTCAGTTGCAGAACAACTCCTATTTTGCGCGATGCATTTTACTTTTAGCCTATCACATGTCAGCTTTAGCCTAGGTTACAAATGCCTCTGTACTACAAGAGGCTACAATGCTACAATGATTCTTGAATTCTTGAATTAAATACATGTGGATTTTTGTTGCCTACCATGATTTGCTCAGTCACGCAAATGACGTCTAGTGTACCCTATCTTGTTTGAAAGCAGGTAATGATTTCATATGGTTCTAAAAGTTATAATTGACAAGAGGCTAACTGTAAGTTATTCCTGCCATGTCGATAAAAAGAATGATCGATGCAGAGGGTCAAAAATTCAATAACAAATGGTCAGAAGAGTACTTGTGTGTCTCTTGGAAATAAAAGGTAATGCATGTTATCTGTCAGGAAACAATACCTGTGATTAAAAAATACAGCATAAAAAGGCATTACGAAACACAACATCAGGCTAAGGTTTTAGAATTCACAGGACGGAGGGAAAAATTAGAACAGTTGAAAAAAATTGCTTCAGGGGCAGCAAAAACTGTTCGAGAGAAAATTCAAAGAAAATGTTGCGGCTACCCGAGCTAGTTATCGAGTATCACTGCTTCTAGCAGCTGCTGGCAAACCCTTCACGGACGGGGAGTTTATTCAGCAGAGTATGCAAGAGGTCGTGGCGAAGATGTGCTTGGAGAAACGCCACCTATTCCAGTCGGTGAGTTTATCGGATTTCACTTGGATGGCCCAGCAAGGTTAGTAAAAAGTTTTAATGGCCCTTGCTCTAAAATGTTTGCCGACCCCTGCCTTAGACCCTTAGACACTCTAGGACAGACTTGAGTCAGTGCTGGAATAACTGCAGTTGTGTCAGAGAATATATTGTTTTTTCCACTAAGATATGAGAACTGTATTGTTCCGAAGACTATAGCATCGCATGTCTTAATGTATGAAACTACTGTTTTGCCAAACTATTACTTTTATAGAGAAAAAGATTGAAAACCAACAGGAGAGGCACCTTTAAAGTGCATCCACAGCCGTAACATCCGATCATGTTTGCAAGTAAATCTGAATCTCGTCAGCATAGCGGGGAAATCCAGGTTTCTGATGGTGAATAATACGACCATGAGACAACGGGTACATTCAACATAGAAGGTGTCCGCTGAAATACCTGTGGAACACTTGGAATTGGATCAGCAACATGAGATTTAAGAACTTCAGAAAGGGTTACTGGGGGGCCATCAGGCACATTGAGCCCATTTGTTAATAGTTTAAAACAAACAAGATTTATGATTTGTCTCCTGTTAGCGAAATAAAGGGAGGTACTGTAATCACATAGTTTTCCACACAGTAGAAAGCAATGAAAGACGGTATTTAAAGTTCATTAACTTTAACAAATCATTAACTACCCTAAATAAGGGCCCAGTTTCAGCACCCTCTCTTTGTCTAAATTATGACTGATAAGGCTCAAAGAACACTCCTGTATCAGGTGGATAGCTGCATCAGCATGCGTAATGCTTCTTCACTTCCTACACTGGCTTTGTCCCGGACCTCTACAAGTGCTGCATCAATGACTGAGTTGGTGCTAACACATGCTCTGATGACCAGTTAGAGCACTTCCTGCATCACCTCACCAACTTCCACCCATCCCTCAAATATACAGTTAACATACCTTCCACCACTCTTCCGTTTCTCGACATAAACCAACCCATTAACATCCCCAACTTTCTACTTCAGTCTATTACAAACCCGTGGATTCACACAACTATCTCCTGTACAGCTCATTTCACCCCGAACACACTAAAAACTCTCCTTCGGCTACAACAATTCTGCAGTGATGACATGGATTTCCAGAACCAAACACTCAAAATGCACTCCTTTTTCATCAACAGAGGATACCCTACCCAGGGCCCTCATCCGAGCCAAAAACAGCCCTCGGATCATCAACTCGACCCGGCCTAACAACCACATTCCTTTGGTGCTTCCCTTCCACCCTAACACACTTTCTATCTCCAGGACCATTAACGACAACTTTTTCATCCTACAGGCTGATCCCTCCATTGGGGCCCTCTTTTCTGACTGCCCCATCATCTCATATCACCTACCACCTAATCAGCATAACCTTCTTGTTTACAGCTCCCTTGACCTCCCTCAGCAATCATCTACACCAGCAATTCCCCATGCAGGAGAGCTCACTGCATCATCTGCAAGTACACATCTAACACCACACTCCTTAAAGGCCCCTCGGGATAATTCCGGATCACGCAGGTGACCTCTTGTACCTCCAGCAACCTCATTTATCTCTTGCAGGAAATGCCCAGCCATCTATGTTGGGGAAACCAGAAGGAGAGTAGAAGGACATCAGAGAACATGTTAGTGAAAATGACAGATTTCGCCAAGTCCATAGTTTCTCATTTCACCTCAGACGGCCATGATCACACTGATCTCTCCGTCTGCATTCTCAAAGAAGGGTTTCTTAACTCCTATAGCAGAAAGACATCAGAAACAAAAATTATCCTGAAACGTGGTTCACACCCTCTCCCATCTCTAAATGACAGGCTTGTGTTCTTGTAATCTTCTCTGTTCACGTGCAGGTTTCAACTTCACACCTTTCTTCACTCCTCTACACTTCGCACCACCTGAGTGGCCTCTCTGCCTCTCCCCTCTCCCGCCTCCTCCACTTTTGTTCTCCTGTGCTATTTAATCTTTGCTGTTTGCCCTCTGTTTCTCACACCTGAAGAAGGCTCCACAGCGGAAACGTTGTATTTTCTTTGTTCTCTTTTCAGCATGGAATAAACCTATTACTTGTTCCTTCACATCCTGTACATTTTCCTTCACTTAATTAAGTACATTTTAGGCACCACAGCAATTTCAGAGTTTCTCAAGGCTTACTGTGTTTTCTGCTTCTTTTAGCCTTCAAACTGTAATACCATGATTGTCAGTGTTGAAAAATGCATGCACATTTGCAGATCAGAAGAACCCTACACAACAGTCAGATTTGTCATACTTCTCAGAGAGCAGAATATCTTATATCCATTGTTTGATGACCCCTTTAGGATGCCATAGGATACACTACATATTTTTGTACTCTTATGTCAGTTTTTGTGCACACACTGCTGTTTACTTTCAATTACCAAGCCTAGCTGCTGCTACATTGTTTAAATATTAGCCGGTTTTAATGTCAATATTGTGTGCCACAGAGGCCAATAAAGATGTTTCCTTTGCATCTCATAGCACATTCAGAGTCCATTTTAATATACTTGTCACCACAGATGCTTGTCACCTTTCTTGAGGTGGTTTTCTTCTCCAGATCCTGCTTTACCAGGATCTCACAAGATGCAAGTATCATCGCAACAAACAATTCAATCAGTTCAGCTCATACACTGCGGCAAGGGTCTATATGTTAAGTTATACTTCGCTGTTAAAGTTGCTTATTAACATCCGTTGTAGTGAGTGTTTCCACAATACTTAGATGCTCATTGAAAGACATAAAGATAACTAACATTTTTCAAACCATAGGTTGCACTTCATGCTTCATAAACTTTCTTAATTACAGGACCTAAGGACAGTGCACTGTTATGCAAATTGTTGTTGTTATTTTTTCAGGAGAGGATTTGCCATACACATATGCTATGGTACTTTCATGGTCTCTAAATGTTTATGCAATACAACTGATAGATTTTTATCAAGAACACAGATAACCCAATACAAGCAACAGCTTGTGATAGCAGTATTTCCAGTATAACCATCTTCTAGCCTGATGTCAGATATCAAAAGATAAGCAAGGCTGGGCAGACTGTTGGCATGAAATAAATCTGGTCCTAGGGTACCTCTGTTTCTGCTACTTTTTAGTTCACTGCACTGGTAATAACTGGTGCTTTATTGATCTATGTGTTTGTTTACTTGTTTCTGCACTCTGTCCTTGTTTGCAATCTGCTCAACTAGTGTATTCTTTCTTTCTTTAGCGTTTGCACTGCGTGCTGAGCCAGCAAGCGGCATTATTCAGCTAGGTGTAAGGCCAACAGTCCACAACTGAAGTGCGTCAGTGGGCAGTCGTTCACAACGTGTGACATAGTCTGTGGTGCACCACAGTTGCATTTTGGGTCAGTTGCCTGGCCCCATCGGACAAGGTTGACTGCACAGCGACCCTGACCTGTCCAGAATCGGTTCGATGACGTCAATAGTCAGCGCGGTAGGTCGAAGCCAGGAGGGCAAGCAGATGGCTCGGTCACGGAACTGGGCTCGGGGAGCATTGGATCAGCATTTCCCATCGCGCTCCCTGACAGCACCGACTCGGCCTCCAACCTTGTTCAGGTGCGGCGAATGATCCAACTAACAGAGCGACTTCCAGTAATGAATCTTGGTAACGTGCCAACACCAGCAGAAGGCCCCGACACGCCGGTGGGCAATGACTTTCAGCTAGGTTATTAAGTGTATGCTCACTTTTTTTCTTTTTAAATGTGATCAGTTTTTTCATTCTGCAGTGGTTCGATTGGTTTCATATTTCCAAACACACCCGAATAAGGGAACGCAGAAACTGGTTGACTCCTCTAACTATTCCATTCAACTTTTTAGGATCTGAAAACCATTTTTGCCAGAAACTGTCTGGAATAAAAACCAGAAAACACCAGAAAAAATGGTGGGAAGCAATCTCTATGGAAAACTAAGTAGCTGCTGTAAGTAGATGACACTGTTCTCTGTGGAATAGAATTTCCAACCTAGGTCTCAATATAGTGACCAGGGAACATGGAAGGTAATGTCTTTTGGATAAGATATTGAACTGAAGTTCAACTGCCTGGTCTTTTTCTTTGTTGTACAGGTATGTTATTGAACTTGTTGTTGCTGCTGTTCTGTGTTTATGTTTTTGGTGATTCCTTTTAATGTCTTTGCATTGGAGCATACGTGCAAATAAGCATTTCATTGAACTTGTGTATATGACACATAAAGTGAACTAAACATTAACAGTCTTATGGCACTGTCTGTAAGAGCAGGGTTGTCAGTTCCAGTGTTCTGGCTAAAATTCCACCCTGCACTTTCACAATCTCCCTGCCTAAAATTACTCCTAAATTAGTGACATAATTTCTATTTTCTCTTCTCCCAAGAAGCTGTGAAATAAGACTTCTGGTGCATAATGGTTTCTGCCCAGATGGGTACTGTGTTTGAGTGGTGGATGAACTGAGTCATTTCCTATACATAAAGTAATTTGGGATACTTTTGGATGAAAATCTCTATATACATTAAATAAATTATTATTCAGAAGAAACACAGAGAGAGAATGAAGTAGATATTTTCTCTGTCTCTCTCAGTTGTGCTGTCTCCCTTTCTATAGTTTCCAGGTGCACATGACTTTGTCAGCACAAAAGTTGCTCTATGATAAACTAAACGGGTCAAAACTAACTTTCAGCTGAAGAGAGCTGGTATTTAAATGCATGTAAATACATGTAAGGTTTGTAAATGAAAGTATACATTTGAGTTGTACGCTTGGAAAGATAACAATAACTGTAACGTCAAAGTATCTGGATGTGCTCACACACACCAATCATCCAGTACAAGCCAGTAATTGAGAAGCTAGAAGGAGAAGGCAGAGAAAATAAATATATATGCAATTTTACAGAACATGGATCTTCTGATCCTCTGCTCTTTTCACCCCTCATATTTGTGAACTGCTGAATAGCTTCTGCCATTACTGTGCTAGGAGAGGAACATTATCTGACAGCAACCATAATTCTGAATATCACTTATATTGTTTATTTCCATTAGAATTATAGTTATGAGCTAACCAAGCAATATGTACAGTGACTTTATATTGGCAATTGTCATCATTATCACTATTATTAGTATTCCTGGTGTGAAGACATCCTCATTGTTTACATATTTTCAGTTGTGCTTGATAAAGCAGGAGAACTGTATTTTCTAGTTGGTAACTAGAGCGCAAACATTTGACTCTGAGCAAGTTAGAATTGAGTTAAAGCTCAATTAAGCCCAGTGAGTTCATTTGCTCATCGTAAATAAAGATAGAACTAAATAAACCTATCCGCAGAAGGAATTACATTTTATTCTCTCCAGAATGAATCCATAAAATGTGTACCCAGTATAGTATCACATATTTGGCTGGAGTTCTTGACTTGGAACATTTCATTTTGGTTAGTAATGCTCTCCCCTGGGCCTGTGCGTCACGGAACCTTCTGATTTTCATTCTAGTTGAGTTCTTAATGACTCTTTCAACTCACAATCCCTGGTTTTGACATCTTTAGCCACTTTCCAATTTTGCTGAAGGCTGCAGGTTTGTAGCTCTTCGGAACCAGCAGTGACACAGAGCTCAAGTCGAACAAGAAAACTTCAACAAGTGGGATTTTAATTTCAGAAAACAAGGTTGCTCAAGAGGGTGTCCCCTGTGGAGGTCAAGTGTAGCCGCGGCTGGAAGCAACGCAAGCTGAATCTGAGACACAATTACTCAAGGTTCATGATGCCTTCTCGTGGGATTCTGTCACATCCAGCCGGGAGCAGCATGTGATTTGCTCAACGGTCTTTGAGCCCTACATAGCACATGTTGTTCCAGCTAATATTAGAGTGCTCACCCTGCGGTCTGTGTGGACTCTATCGGCCCAGTATAGTGATGAGGACACAATAGTGTAAAAAAGACTTTGTCCTTTGGATGAGGCAATGAGGTCCTAACTCTCTGTGGTCATTACAAATCCCAGGGCATTTCTCAGAAAGAGTAGGGGTGTTAATCCTGATGTACAGGTTTCTTCTTGTTCTTCTTGTTCATCTTCCACCACAGCTAGCAACAGTGTGCTAGCTTCATTCAGCCTGCAATATACTCATCAAGGCAGATTTCTCTTTAGAAGCAGGGGTTTTGAGTTCCTTTCTGAGTTTATTTTATTGTTTTTCACCTGGCTTGTCGTTCAACAGGTAAAATTTCCTCATCACTGGTGCTCAATGAACCCTCCCACTATTGAGGTGAATTCGTTTTCTGCAAGTCAAAATCATGTGTGTGTATTACATTTATGAATGATGAGTGAAATAAAAAAAGATAGCAAAAGACTTGATAAATATCTGTTATCCATTATCCATTTTCTTTTCTTTTTTAAGGTTTATTTTGATGAGCAGTTTCATGATTTCTGTGTGCATGTTATCATCAATTCTTATTGCAATAGTTCAATAACATTCCAGTTTAAAATCTCAAATTCTGGACGTGACACACAATGAATGATTGATCTTCAATTTTCATGAGATTCTAGCAGAATTAATTTTAAGAGAGAGTAAATTTGCCTACACCCATGACCAAAGGCCACGACTTAAAGACCAGTAGATCCGACTGAAGGAAGAGACATCATAAGAGGATAAAAAGGGATAATAAATCTTAAATCAAATACAGCTAACTGTGCAAATAAGCAATAGTGTGTGAAAATCACTCTTATTTTCTGGTTTGGTTTCATTCCAATTTAAAAAATATATATTTTTCTCTCTGTAGAATAGATATGCAAAGTCTAGTACAGTATCATTTCAAGGAGGACTGATACTAGTGGCAGAGGACACCAGGAAAGATTTGATTAATATTCAGATTAATCAAATGAATGAGTTCTCCTTCTCCTTTTGAAGTATCATTATTTATAACAACTGTTCTGAAAGTAATAGGGCAGTATTATGCATATCCAGAAGTGGAAGAGATTAGAATTATAATACTTTCTCTGTTGAATGAAAAATACTGAATCCTCACAAAACAGAAAAAAAGTAGATGTACAGTGGCACCATTTTTCATTCCAATTCTTACCATATGACCTCTTTGTACAGTCTGAAGGTCGTAAGAATTGAGAATTAAAAACAATTATCATCGATGCCCTCTTTGTGAAAGCAAAATTCATCCTTTGTTGCTGACCAAAAAGGAAAACATTATTCCCTTTTCATCAACATTAATGGGAGTTTATAAGCACATAGTTTTACACTATTCTTTTCTTGAAGAAGGCAACAGAAATGAAACTGAAAGGTGTCAATTGTTGATAAAGAAGTCTTCTCTTTTCTGTCAGGCAGGCTGGCTTGTTATTGGCTGTACTTACACCTGAGCTGCTACTAGAAACTGCTAAATGACCTCTAATTGTATTAAATAGCCACACTGGGTTTTTATTGGGTATTGTGATTAGATCAGCGTTAAAGGCTGTTGTGGTACATTCTCAGATGGGTGTAATTCATCATTGTACTTTTGCTATATAAAAGGAATGCAAAGGGGGCATTTTTCAATACTGTTGTACTCTACCAGTACAAAGCTGGAAAGAAAAACAAAACGCCTCCAGGACTTCCTTCTGAAGCTGCCTTGAGTTTTTCTGCATGCAGACCCTTTGGATCAACCATTTCCATGTTGGAAATTTGAAAACACTACTACATCCATGGACATATTAAATGTAGTTTACATCAAAAGGTTTAAGCAGAAAGTAGCCATGCACCTTTAAAATGCAAATTATATACTACAAAGGAGCAAGTAATAGGTTTATTCCATGCTAAAAAAACAAAGGAACCACAACATTTTGGCCGTGGTGCCTTCTTCAGGCTCAATGGCCTAAACGTTGTGTTTTCTTTCTTCTTTTTTTTCATCATGGAATAAACCTGTTACTTGTTCCTTTGCAGCCTATGCATGCTGATGCAGCTACCTAATTTACTCTGTATACTAAATTATTCTGTATACTATATGATCATAGCCAATAATGCCTTTAAGTCTGGTGTCATTTGAATATAGAGAATGTAGAGACCTGATGCATTCCTGTCTTTAAAGAAATATCCTTGAAAGACAGGTTAATAGAGCTGAGACTTTTTAATCTTGATGAAAGAAAGTTTGAGGAGACCTGATCAGAATCCTCAAAGGCATTGACAGTCAACACAATGGACTTCAGAATCAACAGTGGAGTAACAAACAAGGGGATACAAATGGAGATTAGGGCTGAAGTTCATTTAAAATGTAGAAGATAAGGTAAGATTTTATTGTCCCCTGAGGGATTTTTTTTTATGGACACCCAGCACTCCTGTACATTTTAATAGAATGCAAACAAAAAAAAAGAAAAAAAGAAAAACATTGCACATTACTCTATTACAAAAAATAAGAAAAACATTGCACATCACTCTTTGCACGTGTACAATATAACACATAACAATATGTTACGTTTATAACACATATTGCACTCAAGTGGGTTGTAAGAGTCAAAACTGTGTTCATCCTTGACATTTGCATTGACAGCTTTAATGGATAGTGGAACAGAGGAATGTTTGTATGTGTTTGACTTACATTTGGGAACCCTAAAACGTTTGCCAGAAGGAAGAAGTAGATATTCAGAGTTGAGGATGTGGGAAGGATCTGAGATCATTTTTTCCTGCCTGTTTGATTGTTAATTTTTCAACGTTTGTCTGCAGGGAGAGGTGCTGTTTCACTCCCATGACCTTCAAAGCTGTCTGTATGAGGCAGGTAATTTGCGATTTTAAATGAACTGATAGATTACCAAACCAACGCTGTAATACCATATCTGACAATGCTCTCGATTACAGCACGGTAAAAGAGTAGCATTACTTCCTGTCGAACCCCAACACTCTCAGTCTTCTCAGGAAATATAAGTGCTGCTGCACTTTGGAGCAAACACTCTCAACATGAGTAGACCAGCACAGGTTACGGTCTATGTGGACACCTAAGTACTAATATGAATCAACCTGAGTGATAACAGAGGGACATTTTGTAAACAAGATGTTTTGAGAATCTAGAAAAAGCTACCCAGCCATGTTACTGAAGCTCATACCCTGGACTCATTTCAGTAAGCAGCTGGGAGAGATCCTCTAATCAAATAGTGGCAACCCCTGGTTAAGTGAGTTGAATTGCCTCTTCTCATTTATAACATTTCTTATGTATTTCAGGCATATTGAAACATTAACGTTCCTGAACAAAACAACTATATGCAAAAACAGTATTGCAGTAGAAGGCAGTCCAGGTCTTTGTCATTTATTATAATTCCATACAGCAACATGTTAGGGGAATGTTAGATCACCAAGATCAAGATGTTTTCACGGCAATTGGCAGATTATGTTATGAATGAAGGCTCAGCCTTAAAAGATATTCAACATACTACACAAAATGAAGTGTTGTAGAGAACTGAGGGAAGGATATAGGAGAGGTGAGTTTTTTTACAAAGCAATGGAATGGACAAATCCCAGGAGCACTTGTTTGCTTTTATTAAACTCATATTGTTCACTTATTGACTTCAGATAAACCAGATTGTTTTGCACACGCAGATAGAGTAATTGTAGTAAGAACAAATTACACACCTGGTGGCTCTCATACCATTATTTTATTCCCCTCTTTGAATTAAAAATGTTTTGGCTTAACAAAGAATTCTTTACTTCTATAGCTCAGTTCCGAACATGACCACGAGGTGGCAGAGTAAGAGTATTTGAGAAAATTGTATTCCGTTTTGCCTTCTTCCTCAAGGCCACCTAATAACATTCGTATACATTTCGCCATCAGTGCGGCGAGAGGTTAATTCAACCCCAAGACTTTGTTTCATTTAATTAATCGCCACCAGGGATGTCATGACTAAATGCCTTTTAAAATGTCTCCAATGATATCAAAATAATTTTATTCCGATGAAAAATGGGTGCCTATGTCTACTAATAAATGCTTTGTAAGAAAATGAAGGTACACTGCTCCCAGGCACGATGAAAATCTGCTGTGCTTGACTAGTTCTCTATGTATATTCAGCAACTATGTGAGCAAAAAAAACCCAACTCCTTTGGCATAACAAATTTGTCAAGTAACACCACATCAAGAAGTTGACCCTGTAAGTTAAGGATGAGTGTTTGTTTCAGTCTTTTTGATTTTGGAGTGTCACTGGAATAAAATAAATTGTTTCCTGTTGTAAATTACCATTGTAATATCACCAGTGACGGGGAAGGACTCAGAAATCTTGAAGTGGTCTTTGTATTCTACACTTCAGGTCACTAGTTATACTTTTCCTCCCCGAGAAACATTTCTGAAAAACATTGCTCAGTTAAGATCTTCCTTGTCTGAACCTGGTGTAAAGAAGTGGTGATATCTTAATTCTTAATTCTGTCGAGAACTGGGCATTGTGTAGCCTTACTCAGTGGTGGGTGATGGTAATGGTTTGTGTGATTGACCCATTATTGTGTCCAAAGATTTTCAACAAGACTAAAATCAGAGGGTTGTACATGCCACACTGGCTACAAAAACAGAAGTCTACTTTGATCAAAAGAAAGACACAGAAAGTATTACTGCTTTGACAGCCAAAATCTATGCCATTGTTTTTTTTACGTTCATAATAAGAAAACATTAGGAGAACAAAAGTGTTTTAGAGATACAAAATTGTCTGTTATAGAAGGCAAGCTGGAAATGACACACATTTTGTAATATACCATATGGTTTACAATGTATTCAGGTTTTATTTCTCACAAGGAAATTGAAAACTTGGAACACAACGGATCTAATTTACCTCTTTGAATGAAAGAGTTACAATTTTTTTAAGAATCAGGTGTTTTTGTAGTTCTGGCAAAATGTTCTCTGGAACTTGTTCAATGAGATGGTGGGAGTCTACATCTTACAGCAATAGAATAGTATGACCATGCTGTCTGAGTAATAAAGATCGACTAGTTGCTTTTGGCATGAATGAGATATTCTGTTTCAACAATCAATCACAAGTCCAGAGAAACTAGGAACTTGGGTCTGTGTGTGACAGGACACATCCTGAAAGGTGTCACCATACCAGCCTATTCCATTTATTTAAATGGATTTATTTCCAGACTGTACAAAGAATAGCAGGAAGAAATATGCAACATATCAACACAATGACCGTAGCTTGCCATCCGTGTAAAAAAGATATGCATACTCAAGAGGCCATTCAAAGGTAACATTGAGATCTGAAAGATGAAACTGCTGTGCTCTGTGGGACAGAGAACTTCTGAAGTGGGAGCAGATAGGGTGTTGGACTGTACTATTCACTGACAAGTAAGGTTTCTTCCTCTAGGCTTGACAATGTGTGTGGAGGCATATTTCCAT